GGGATGATTTCTCGCTTTCTGTCTCTCTGTCTCTCTCTGTCTCTCTCTGTCTCTCTGGCGAGCACACATGCCCTGTAGCAAAAACCTCTCCAAAAAAAAAAATAAAAAATAAGGGGGTGATTTATAGATACTTGGTGCATTAACAAAATTAGAACGTTCCAAATAAGATTTATCCTTGAAGGTATCCTATATTTATTTTTATTTCCTAAACAGCCCACTACCATATTAAATATTCTTTAAGACATTAAGGGCCAACTGATGGCCTTGTACTTAAAACATGCTGGATCCCACGTGGCTGTATGGTTCAAGACCCTGAACTGGGAGGCTTAACAAACATGCCAGGCGCATGTGTATGTGTCCAAAATCCCAAAAGGAAGGAGAAATGGAGAAGAGACCACAGTGTGACCATGCCCCGTGAGAGGTGCTTTCTCCATCTTCCTGTCTGTCTCTGACAAAAACACACTCCCTCTGGCAGTTAAAAGGTATACAAAACTGTAATTACCATATGAGTAGGGTCCCAATAAAATGATGACTCTTTAACATTTAAAATGTAGCAGTCAAACTTTACCATATCTTCTACCATGATCCATCCCATAGCAAATTCTAAACATAAACTTAGCTAAGATTGAGAAATTACTTCAAAAAAACACTAAAGCACCTGTCATATATTATGGTTTTTCATCTAACATTAGTGGTTTGCTCTTTGTACCACACCAAACATAAAGAATATACAGATATACATAGCCAGTTGATTTTTCACAAACATTCCAAAAACATCTATCAATACTTGGGAAAAGATGATCTCTTCAATAAGTAGAGCTGAGAAAACTGATATTCCTATGCATAAAAATGAAACTAGATCTGTACTTCTTACTATATACAAAAATCAACATGAAGTGGATTAAGGACTTAAATGTAAACCTTGAAACTATGAAGCTATTCTAAGAAAATATAGGGGAAACGCTTCACAACATGGGTCTAGGCGAAGAGTTTTTGAACAAACCCTCGAGATCATGGGTCACAAAAAAAAAAAAAGTAGACAAATGGGATTATATTGTGCTAAATAAAAGGCTTCTGCACCACAAAGGAAACAACACAGCAGAGAAGACCCATAGATGGGGAGAACATATTTGTAAACTATATATCCCACAGAGATTAGTAACTAGAATATACAAAAACAAACAAAAAAAAACAAACAAAAAAACACCCTCAAATAATCCATCAATTAAAAAAAATAATAACCTGATTTAAATGTGCCTGGTGGGCAAATGGGCCCAACCTCTATGACACAATTGGTAGTATACTGAATTGAGGTGCTGGAGACCACATGGACAGCTATGGGGTTTGGATCCCTGACCTGACTGACCTAAGATGTGGTGTGTATGCATGCATGCCTGACAAGCTAGAGGGTTGGGTTTAGGGGACTATGGCAAGAGAAGGCCCCGGTGAAGGTGCTTCTCCTTCCTTCCTTTTCTCCCTTCCTCTCATTCCCTTCTCCCTTCCTCTCATCCCCTTCTCCCTTCCTTTTGTGTGCACATAGCTCTCTACAATAAAATAAATTTTTTTTTTTAAAAAAGGGCAAATGACCTAAATAAACACTTCTGTAGAGAAAATACGTAAATAGGGGCCAGCAGGTGGTGTAGTGATTAGGGTGCTGGACTCCCACATGGCCGACCTTGGTTCGAGTCCCAGACCCAGCAGCTTGAAACTCACACTTGTGCATGCCCAAAATCCATAGAGGAGAATAGAGGAAAAGGGACTGTGGTGTGGCCATCCCCCCTTGGGGGTGATTTATCACTTTATGTCTGTCTGTCTCTCTCATGAGTGCATGCACCCTATAGTAAAAAAAAAAAAAAAAAAAGAAGCATAAAAAAAGAGGC